TTTAGTAAAATGCTGTTATTTAACATACAAACAGACACTTCAATTTTATTTGTTTGTGTAGATTTTTATGCACTGTAATAGTCGCCATAGGGTACTTTTGCTTTGATTAAGTTCCCGAGTAATTAAGTTCTATAAAGAACGTATACTTAATGTGAGAAATTACCGTTTGTATAATTACCATTTCTCCCGTTCGTATTTTGGCGGAACGGTAATGAGAAATCGAAAATGGTAATTAGTATCAGTATAAGCTGGCCTCTTATTATATTGAAACTCCTTACTCTACTAGGCCAGCTCAAGGTCGAATTGTGTTACTACCAAAGCGTGATCAATTGTTGCTCGTTTGGTGTGAACTGACACCACTTCCGCAACAAAATAAACCTACATACTGACTATACCATCCCCACCCCCCTATTACTAACATTGGTTAAATCCAAAATCACAGGCCAGAATCGATACGCTAAAATCAAAGCAGACCCTATTTTATACGCCATTGAAAAATAAAAAGAACGCCAACGATACAAAAAGCGAAAAGGACAGAAAATAACTTTAGTCAGTTGAAAAAATTACGCAGGTGAAATAGGAGTTGTTGAATGTACTGTCGCTGTAGCGCAAGGTAGAGGTGTTGTAAAATTAGATGGATTTTTGAAACGATAAGACACAAAATTATGCTGGCAACTGTTGAAGAATACCATACAATAGAAAAATGTATTGATACCTTCAGAACAGCTGAAACCATTAAAAGGTACATTGAAAGTTCATCAAATACTGTGGCAGAAAGAAAAGGACCACCTGATATTCAGAGAAACCAGTTACTTATATGCTTAGACGTGAACTGTGAACATACTAAATGCGTCGGGAAATTATGCTATGAAGACACGAAAGAATCTACACATATCAGAGATAAAGAGAATGAAAATCATAATATTACTGATGCGACCACAAACGTAATTCCTAAAACTACACCGAATAAAAGGAATATTAAAATCTTAAGTAATGTTTTACTAAAGTCAAAACGCAAAGGAGACGAAATCACCCTTAAAATGCTGTCTTATTTAAAACCTGAAGATTTACACTTGGACCCTAATATGCAAATTGAGAATGTGGTAAATATTTCTGGCAGTGGCAGTGATATGAATTTTTCGGGTGTATTTCAAGAGTACGTTCAATCAACATTACAATTAAGTGCAAATCAAATAATTGATGGCCAGCTTAATGTTCTCAGATCATTGCAGTGCGATGATCTAGCAGATCCACAAGAGACTGCATTTGAGACTACCTGCGAAGTTCTTGGTAGTGAAAGTTATACGGATTCCAATTCAATTTTAAATATTTTATAACTTTTGTAACTGACCTCATCGCATTTAAGAAATATTTTAGATGAAACCGGTATAGTGTAGTTCTATTTACAAACAGTTTTGAAGTAGTGTTTTAGTTGATTTTATTAAGATTACTAGAATGATAATTACAATTGCTTTTGTTTTGAAAACCTGTTTATTTTGTTTTTATTTTCCTTAATTTTAAAAATTAAGTCTAGGTTGATATTTATCAAAGTTTGATAGAAAAATCAAATGTTTTGTACTTTCCTGTTTATCATTGCCGTGTTTACTTGCAGATCTACTTAAGACTTTGATTAAGTACATGCTCTGTTTCTGGTTATGAAATTGAGACTAATTCGGATTTAAGTATAAAACCTTTTTTAAGTTTTTGTATAAGATTTCATCGAGTTTAAGAAATATCTTAGATGGAACTTGTATAACTGTGAGTTCTATTTACACTAAGTTTTAAACTAATGTTTTAGTTGATTTTATTTAAATTACTAGACAAATTTATTTTTAATGACCTGATTAAAATATTAGGAAAACCGGTGGATTTTCGTTAATTTTGTTTTTAAATTAAGAAGTCATGTAATAAATAAATATGTGATTTAAGTACATACATCATTCATTTTATTTATAATTACCAATCACGTAGCATAATTACCATTTTTAAAACACTACTTACCGTTTGTTTCATATCTCATCACCGTTCGACGAAAATTTTCAGATTCAGGCCTAATAGCAGTTCAAATACTGTGCGTTTTTTTTCTTTTTTTTTTAATAGGAGAGAGGCAAACGAGCATGCGGCTCACCTGATGGTAAGCGACTACCGCCGCCTATGAACAACTGCAACACCAGGGAGGAAAATGCAGATGCGTTGCCGGCCTTTTAAAAAGGAGTATGCTCTTTTCTTGAAGGTCCCTAAGTCGTATCGGTCCGGAAAAATCGCTGATGGTAATCGATTCTACAAGGAAGTCGTGCGAGGAAGAAAATCTCTTCTAAATCACACAGTGGTGGACCGCCAATCATCCAGATGGTGTGGATGGTATCGGGAGTTCTGCCGCTATGTGCGTTCGTGAAATTTGGCGGTTGGGATTAATCCGAACAATTCCTCAGAGCACTCCCCGTGGTAGATGCGAAAGAAAATGCAAAGGTATGCAACATCTCTTCGCAGTGCCAATGAATCGAGCCGATCGGAAAGGACTCGTTCGTCGACGATTCGAGCCGCTCTGCGCTGGATGCGGTCAAGTGGAAGGAACTGGCACTGGGGAGCCCCTGCACAGAGATGGGAACAGTATTCCATGTGAGGCCGAACCTGCGCCTTGTAAAGTTGCAGGCGGTGTGCCGGCATGAAATACTGTCCCGCTCTGCTGAGCACGCCAAGCTTTTTAGAGGCCAATTAGGCCTTCTCTTCCAAGTGACCACGAAACTGCACGTCACTCGATATGTCGACTCCGAAGATTCCGATCTGGCTGAGGCAAGAAGGGGAGTGCCTTGAAACTGAGGAAATACGACAATGGGGTTCTTTTTAGCGGTAAACGCGCAAACTTGTGTCTTCTGATTATTAAACTGGACAAGATTTAGTCGCCCCCAATCCGAGACTTTGTTCAGCAAAGACTCGACTTCAGACACAAGTTTGTTCCGGTACTCAGCGACGTTTTCCCGAGAAATATTGGCACGGCCGGTGTATAGAGCATCGCCAGTGCTGTCAGCCGCATAGCAATGAATGTTACCAGTTAGCAACATATCATTGATATGTAGAAGAAACAGCGTTGGTGATAGCACACAGCCTTGTGGAACACCTGCGTTAATAGGCTTGTAGTCGGAGCATGCATCGTCTACAACGACCTTGATGCTCCGATCTGCAAGGAAGCTGGTGATCCAAACGCACAATTTCTCGGGAAGCCCATAAGAAGGGAGCTTCGAAAGAAGCGCTTTGTGCCAAACCCGATCGAAGGCCTTCGCAATGTCCAAACTAACGGCCAACGGCTCCCCCTTGGACTCTACTGCCTCCGCCCATCTATGGGTCAGGTAGACCAGAAGATCACCAGCTGATCGACCCCGACGAAAATCGTATTGGCGGTCACTAATCAGCTGGTGATCCTCAAGGTACCGCATGAGCTGGCAGTTAATAATGGATTCCATTATTTTGGAGAACAAGGAGGTGATCGCGATAGGCCTATAGTTGGACGGGTCTGAGCGGTCGCCTTTTTTAGGGATCGGGTGGACAAAAGCTGTCTTCCATGAATTCGGGACTACGCCTTGGGAGTAGGAGTACCGGAAAAGACGCGTTAGGACCGGTGCCAACCCAGGTGCCACCCAGCGCTGTTGCTGACAGAGTCAGCAACAGCGCTGGGATTATCCGGCGAGAAGCAAACCCGCCTACCCCCATGGGTAGGATGCAAAGAAAGACCGCATTCCGTCCCAATCCGCCGATCTGTAATGCCAAACCCGGCGGCAACCTGCAGAACGCAACCGCGAAAGGAGCGTGAGTGGCACCACACTCCGGATCAGACAATGGTCCGAAGAGCCGAGAGGGGCATCGACGGAAACCTGATATCCGTCCAGATGAGAGGTCAGCAGAAGGTCCAACAGGGAAAGTGGATGATCCTCCACATCTGGAATCCGCGTAGGCGAAGTAACCAGTTGTGTCAGACCATATGCCAAAGCAAAGTCATAAACAGATTTCCCCGCATAATCGGTTAAACGTAAACCGAGCCATTCGGCGTGGTGGACGTTAAAATCGCCAAGGATCGCGATCTCTGCGGATGGGACCTGTTGTAGCAAGGAATCTATAGCCATTTGGACGTGGTCGATGAGTCGGTCTGTTTCGGCATTACCGCTATGGGACCTATAGAGGCACCCGTAGTCGCGCGGATGGAAAGGAGTGCTCCAATTTGTACCCCGGGTAGGAGAGATACGAAATATCAGCCGGAGAGGAAACCTGCGTCTCGGTCAGAAAGAGCAAGTTCGGCTTCGCCGTCTCGAGATGGTAGTGGATGGCGTTTAGGTTCGAATGAAGTCCCCTGATGTTGCAGAAATTCACGGATAGCGTGGCAGGGGTCGCCTTGGTATCATCAGCAACTACGTTCTGTATTACTTATAAAAGTGCAAAGATTAATAGACTGCAGAGAAAAAAGTACATATAGGTATTTATTATAAAAATAAATTTTCTATGAAAACGTAAGTAGGTACATGTTAGTTTTCTTATATTTGTAACTTCACAAATGGAATGGGTATCAGTTTTAAACACAAACAAAATTCATTGTGGCAAACGAGAACAACCCATACATACAGATCCTAAAATGCTTTATTAGAAATGATATTCTATGTCATTTGTACATAATACATCATACAGTCATGATACTATATGTAATTATGTCATTTGTACATAATACATCATACAAACATGATACTCTATGTAATTATGTCATTTGTACATACACATCACATCATACAAACATGATGTATTAGTAGTGATTAGGCGGAATATACCCATTAGTAGGTACCTAGGGTGAATCAAGGTCGGTCATCGCCTTGGAGACTAGACCGTACACATAACGACACATGTTTTTAGGTCTTGTAAGTCTCAGTAGATTGACGGTTTTTGAACGGAGATGTGAAAAATATGAAAACGAGAAAGGCATGAAAGAGATCTGATTCAAGAGAGAGTAATAAAAAAATATGCAGCCTTTTCACACGATTATTGTTTTATTCTCGCTTTCTTGCGTTGTATTATCGCAGAATACGCAAAATATTAACGTTTGTGCGTACAAGAATGCTATCATAATTTTAAGTTGCTAGATAAAAATAAAAAACTAATTTATGCTTTTTTTTTATATTTGTAGTGCTCGTCAATGAGGAAAATAATGCACTGGCTGAGAAAGCTTTTGAAGTGGCGAAGGAGTATGTCAGACGTAATCCAAGCCTGGGCTTGGCTATAGATCCGGTTATAGTCGTCGGTAATCGTTCCGATGCAAAGGCATTCTTAGAAAATGGTAAGGCTATGTCTGGTAGTAAAAGGTTATTATTTTATTTTTAAGTAGAATATTAATAATGTTATTAATATTACCGTTAGCCGTTAGGAATGGTTCGTGATAGTAGTCGAATGACGGATTCGAACCTACGACTTTCAAATTCGCGGTTCATTCCCTTACCTATTTTTGAGATTGTTATACACAATATTAGTAAATCATATATTAAGTTCTTATGCAAATATATTTTTTTTAAATTATCAGTTTGCAGAAAGTATAATGGTATGCTATCCGAAAAGAGGGAACCCCACGTGATTCTCGATTTTACAATTACCGGTGTTGGTTCTGAAACCATAAAGTCATTTACGGCTGCTCTGGCCTTGCCGACTATTTCTGGATCGTTTGGTCAAGTTGGTGATCTGCGCCAGTGGCGCTCTTTAAGCGTCAACCAAACTAAGTACCTTCTGCAAGTAATGCCGCCTGCTGATATTCTACCAGAATCTATAAGGGCCATTGTCACGAAACAAGATATAACAAATGCTGCAATTATTTTTGATGAACACTTCGGTGAGTAATTATTATACATATTATGTACTTAATATTTAATTAACTTAATTTTTATATAGTTATGACGTAAATAATATATTTAGTATACGTAAAAGAAGCACCCCCGGTTTGATCCCCGCCGGCACCAATGAAATTGTTAATTGCAAATTTAAGTGCTGATTTACCACGTGCTCGGCGGTGAAGGATAACATCGTGAGTAAACCTGCAATTTGAGAAATAAGAAAAAATATCTTTCGAAGACGTGATGTCCGCCAACACTCATTGGGGCAGCGCGGTGGCCACTTCCTTGCCCTAAAACCATTTCAGAAGTGAGAGTCCTGTCTAGTCCGTCTTTGTCCAGCAGTAAGACATTATAGGCTGTGACTTTACTTTACTTTTACGTAAAAGGAGACAATATTATTCAAACGAGTGTCTCTAAATTCAAGTTTAAGCTTTCAAAAATAATAATTAACACCGGTTATAATTTTAAATACTAAATGAGCGACTCTCTGTGAGCGAATATATGTACAAAGTCAGAAAACAGTGACTAAATAAATACTATTTTTTTTAAACATTTATTAAAAACGTGCGGATTTCTGTTTAATGAATAACGCTATCAATACATATAAATTAAGCTGAATTGCATTTTACTTAAAATTAAATGATTAATAAACTTCGAAACTTCATTAAATAACATTAAGCTGTTATCTTTTTTCATATTATATAAATATTCTCGGCTTTGGGATGGCCTAAGGACCTTAACCTAGTGGCAAAATCATTCAGCATTTCTCGTCGCTCACTCAGTAGCTTATTTGTTCATTTATTATTTATATCACTCCTAAAATTTTAATACACTAGTCAGTACTCTCATGTATCATTCGGAGACAATTTTTTTCCCGTTCGTTTAATAATTTTCCTTAGAATAATATACATAAAAATAGTTTAATAGTGTACGTATGTATTTATGTATGTAGTTGTGTTATAATTAAAGCATTCTTGCAGTTATGGATCATAAATACAAATCCCTCCTACAAAACATTCCGACACGGCACGTGATAACACCGGTCAAAAGCTTTAGTAAAGACGAAATTAAAACTCAACTGCGTAGTCTGCGAGAGCTGGACATTGTCAACTTTTTTATAATTGGCAGTTTGAGAACCATAAAGAACGTTCTAGACTCCGCCGATGAGAATCAGTATTTCGGAAGGAAAACCGCGTGGTTCGCTTTATCGTTAGACAAAGGAGACGTAAGTTGCGGATGTAAGGATGCTACAATAGTTTATTTGAGACCGACGCCAGATGCAAAGAGCAAGGATCGTTTGGGAAAAATTAAAACAACGTACAGTATGAACGGCGAGCCTGAGATCACATCGGCCTTCTACTTCGACCTGTCTCTCCGATCATTTTTAGCCATCAAGTAATGACCTTTCTATTTTAACACGCGCATTAAACATAAATCCGTATTTAGTGCACCACGTGTACCTATGTAGAGCGTCTAATTATAATCCTGGCATATTCCATGAGTTCGCTTATAAATTTCCAGATCACTGCTGGATTCTGGCAGTTGGCCAAATGACATGCAATATATAACTTGTGAAGATTACAACGGTAAGAATACTCCAAGCAGGACCTTGGACCTCAAAACTGCATTTCAAGAGGTGCGTTGTGAAATATTACGTGATTATTAAAATAACTAGGAATTAAAAGTGACAAACGGGCCTACAGTCCACCTGATAGTACCTACGTGGGCACTGCAGTACATGGACACCTGCAGCCAATATTAAACAAACAAGTCTTCAGATGTACTGCGTTGTCTAATCTGAGAACTAAATTTATTTTAGAGTATGTAAATTATCGGAACACAGCAGTAGGTTTTTAAAAAAAATTAAAATAAGGTTGACAAACGAGCACACAATCAACTTAATGGTAAGCGGATGCTGTGGCCCATAGACATCTACATTTATCCTCGATTAAGAATCAAAATGCAGATGCGTTGTCAACCCTGAGGACTAAGCTGGAATGTCTCTTTTCCAGTAAACAGGGTCACCAGTTTTTTACATTTACCATACGAAACACAGCAGCATTAAGCTGCTATTTTACGCTAGTATTCTGTGATCCTGGTCGAGCCAACCCATTCGTGATACAACCATAATATAGCTGCAACTTGGTTCTACCACGTATAGTATACTTGATACTTGGCATCTTTGCAATTTTTTGTGCCAAGAGTAAGAGGCTGGTACTTCATTGTGAAAAAGTCTAGAACGCATATCGCATACCTGCCACACGGGACAGGTTATGTTGGACCGCGACTTCAACAGCGCTGTCTGCTGTTGGCCCATCTTCGAAAGGGGAGAGTACCTTTCCCCCTCACCTTCCTAGCAAAGTGAACACGGCCTTCCCCACTTTGACGGTCCGTGGCAGGGGCAACCAACAATCGGAAGCTTAACGCTTTAGTAGCGAATCCTTTGTTGAAGAAAGAACGGAAAAGAAGGACAGAAGACTATCTAAAATTCCTGAAAATGCGTCAGAACAGCCTAGAAGGAATGTTGCGCAAGGCTGTGTACTGAATAATGAAGTCTCGAATTTAAAGTAATTGAAGCAAAACTTCGAAAGCGTATTTAAATGTGAGGAGGTGTCTGAGGTAAACGAACTAGAAACTCCGAGGAATAAGAAGGGGGTAGCGATATAGTGATGGCTGAAATAATGAAAGCAATGTAGAGCATGAAAATAGGTAAGGTAGCGGGGTGTGATAAAGTATCGTTAAAATACTGAGGGCTGGAGAAGGAAATATTATGTACACTCTCTTTAATTTATGCTGGGAACATAAGCGAGTACCTATCTTGTATAAGGGAAAAGGGTCGCAGCATGGCTGTCAAAGCGATCTTGGAAACGGCTAGCTTAACATTGTCAGAAAAGTGTTAAAATGTTGACCGAAAGAGTTATGAATGAAAATGATGGATTAAAAAAAAACTGCGGTTGCCAACCCGCTCGCCAAGCGTGGCAACTATGGCAAATACCCCCCTATGAAGAGAGTAACAAGGAGACGGCCCCCAATCCCCGGCGGCCCCGCTATTCCTGGCTACGGTGGCGAACATGATAACGGCGGGGCAGGGGGTGCTAAGAATCTCCGGTGGAGGTTCGGTTGCCACCTTAGACGACTCGACCTGGCAACGTACAACGCACGCACCCTGAGGACTGACGAGAAGATCGTGGAGCTGGAAGAAAAGATAGACAAGTTACGCTGGCATATTATAGGATTATCCGAAGTCCGAAGAGAGGGGGAGGACATGGTTATCCTCGAATCCGGCAACTTGCTCTATCACCGGGAGGGCGACCATCTGTCCCAAGGAGGTATCGGATTTATGGTCCACAAATCTCTCGTTAACAACGTTGTCAAGATCGGGAGTGTGTCGACGAGGGTTGCGTACCTTATACTCAGAATCACCAAACGGTATTCGCTGAAGGTCATACAGGTTTACGCACCAACCTCGGCACACCCCGATGAGGAGGTGGAGGAAATGTATGAGGATATCTATAGAGCCATGCATTCCTCCAAAACCCAATATACGGTGTTCATAGGAGACTTCAATGCAAAACTAGGCACAAGAGAGAACGGTGAGCTGAAAGTAGGGAAATTTGGAATAGGGCAACGGAACCCAAGGGGCCAGCAGCTGGCCGACTTCATGGAGAAAAAGGGACTCTTTATGATAAACTCTTTCTTCCAGAAGCGGCTCCACAGGAAGTGGACCTGGTCGAGCCCTGCCGGTTCGACAAAAAATGAAGTTGACTTCATTATGATGACCAGACGACAACCGTTCAGTGATGTCTCCGTGATCGCGAGGGTGAAAACCGGCAGGGATCACCGAATGGTTAGAGGCACACTGAACCTAAACGTGAAGTTGGAGAGGTCTCGTCTAATGAATGATGACCCACTCGTGCCCTGTTCCAAAGTCCTGAAACCTTTCAGCTCGAGTTACAAAACCGTTTTCAGTGCCTAGAAGACTGCAATGAAGTGGACGATATGAATGACAAGCTCGTGGAAACTGTCCATGCGGTCGGAACTAAGTTCTGCATGACTTGCCGCAGACGAACACAAAAACTCTCCGATCACACTCTTAATCTCAAGGCTGTTAGACGGGAGATGAAGCTACATTCTTCAACAGACTTGACAGCATACAGGCATCTGAACAGACAGATCTCCAAATGCATGCGGCGGGACTTACGCAACTTCAATACAGCTCGTGTTGAAGAAGCGATCGAGCGGAACCAAGGCTCCAAAGTCTTTGCCAGAGATCTGTCTGCCAGAAATAGCCAACTGTCAAAGCTGAAGCCATAGTGTGGCAGCATCGTTTCCGGGACACCTGAGATTTTGAGTGAGATTGAGAGGTTCTATGGGCTGTTGTACACGTCATCGTTGGAGCCACACGCAAGTGTGAGTAACGATCCAAGAGCGAGTCTCATCCGACACTATTCCGAAGATATCCCGGACGTCAGTCTGAGCGAGATTAGAATGGCTCTCCAGCACCTTAAAAACGGTAAGGCCCCAGGCGAGGATGGAATTACAGCGGAGCTTCTGAAAGCGGGTGGAAAACCGGTACTTGAAGTCCTTCAGAAGCTCTTTAATTCCGTCCTCCATGGTGGCATTACACCGGAGGCGTGGAGCAGAAGTGCGGTGGTCTTGTTCTTCAAGAAAGGTGACAATGCTCTTTTGAAGAACTACAAACCGATTTCCCTTCTGAGCCGCGTATACGTGCTGTTTTCGAGAGTCATTATGAATCGTCTCGCACGCAGACTTGACGACTTTCAGCCTACCGAACAAGCCGGTTTCCGAAAGGGCTTTAGCACCATAGACCATATATATACCCTTCGGCAAGTTGTACAGAAGTCCAAGGAGTACAATTTGCCACCATGCCTGGCGTATGTGGACTTTGAGAAAGCCTTTGATTTCGTCGAAATTTGGGCGGTGCTGCAGTCCCTTCAGCGGTGCCAAGTTGACTGTCGGTATATCGAAGTGCTGAAGTGCTTGTACAGTAGGGCTACGATGGCTATCCGAGTACAGAACCAGAGTACGAAACCTATCCAATTGCAGAGAGGTGTAAGACAGGGTGACGTTATATCCCCGAAACTCTTTACCGCTGCATTGGAAGATGTTTTCAAGTTTCTGGACTGGAAAGGATACGGTATCAACATCAATGGCGAGTACATCACTCACCTTCGATTTGCCGATGATATAGTCCTTATGGCAGAATCGCTGGAGGACCTAAGCACTATGCTCAATGACCTCAATAGTGTCTCCCAACGGATAGGTCTTAAGATGAACATGGACAAAACAAAGATTATGTTTAATGTCCATGTCACACCTATGCCGGTAATTGTTGGGAGCACTAAGCTCGAAGTTGTTGACGAGTATGTTTACCTGGGACAAATAGTCCGACTAGGTAAGTCCAACTTCGACCGAAAGGTCAATCGACGGATTCAACTCGGCTGGGCAGCGTTCGGGAAGCTACGACACATCTTCTCGTCAGACATACCTCAAAACCTTAAAACGAAATTGTACAACCAGTGCGTGTTGCCAGTGATGACTTACGGATCTGAGACGTGGTCCTTCACTGCTGACCGTATGAGGAAGCTCAAGGTCGCTCAGCGAGCTATGGAGAGGGCTATGCTCGGAGTTTCTCTGCTTGATAAACTGAGGAATGAGGATATCCGCAGTAGAACCAGAGTAACCTACATAGCCTAACGGATTAGTAATTTTAAAAATTGTGTTTTTGGGCCGGCCATATAGCTCGAAGAACCGACAACCGATGGGGAAGAAAGGTTCTTGAGTGGCAACCTCGTACCGGTAGGCGAAGTGTAGGGCGACCCCCCACGAGATGGAGTGACGACCTGGTAAGACATGCAGGAAGTCGGTGGATGCAGGTGGTTCAGGACCGTGCTTTGTGGCATTCCGTGGGGGAGGCCTATGTTCAGCAGTGGACTTATGAAAGGCTGTAATGATGATGATGATGAACTTTTGTGTCGGAATCAAAGGAGTCTACACGGACTGGTTTAGCTTCCATAAAGGTGTCAGTTGGAGTTGTGTAGCTTCCCGGTTGCTGTTTAATCTGTTTTTTGTTCAGTCATTCAGTTGTTTCGTAACTGAAGTATTTAAAAGTTAATTTGCTTATTCCCGCGTATTGAAATTTTGAAGAGCACCTCGCACCCTCCCTCAATTACGTGCAATATCTCCATCACCACCAATCCCAGTACAACCACTCCCAACACCACCATTCTAGGAATGACACAACACCTTCGATAATATCGTATTACGCGGAAATAAACTAAATAGATTTCTGCAAAGTAACGTCTGTTTCTATTAATTAGTTGTTTGGAATCTTTTAAAGTCGAACGAAGTTGTGGGTTAAGGACGGAGAAGTTGGCCTTCAAAGATCTCTTATACGCCGACGATCAATTCATATGTGCGTAGTCAGCAGGGCATTTGAAAATGTATTTTTAAAAGGTGTTTTTTTTTTTGCCTAAGATGCGTCTTAACATCATGCTTATTTTTTTGCACCAAGTAGCAGTCACTTCTGTGTTAACAATTTGAACCGAAAAGATGCCGGTATGGTGACGCATCTATGGCCTTGTGTTAGAAGTTGGGTGCAGGTGACTTTGAGCTGCAGTACATTTCCATCAGAAGGATCATTAGCCCGTTTGTTACCTTTACAATATGTTTTTTTCTTAACAAACTCTTTTACAGATTAAAGAAACTCCAACCTACGCCCCCTTTTACATACCCGAAGATGATTCAATGAATGGAAGAAGTTACATGGAGTTTAGTGCTGATTTGTCTGCTGTTACTGTTAAGGACGGTGCTTCGATTGGAAGCCGTTCCTTGGGTTCCTGGAAAGCTGGCCTTTCTAATCCCCTAACTCTTACCGACGCTGATAACATGAGTGACTATTCAGCGCAAGTCGTATATAGGATTGTTACCGTAGAGGTGGGTAATGAACTCTCTCATTGTTTAAAATACAATATGATAAAATCCAGTGGCGCTGAACTACAGCTGTGTAAACAATTATGATATATTTAATTTTTGTGCGACCGATAAAGATATTGATTTAGTTTGTTGTCTGTCTAGAATATCCAGAACTTCTGTTACAGTTTCTATACAATGAACTCTAAATGCTATATCATTTCACATCACTAAAATTGCAAATGAAATTGTACTTTTAACCCCTGACGCAAAAAGAGTGCTATAAGTTTATTAGTAACTAGCTTTTCCCTGCGACTTCGCCCGCGTGTAATTTATTACGATTGGACTTCATGGGTTTTAATTTTTTTTGCGCAGAACTCTAATTCTTTTCCTAATAAAAGTAGCCTAAGTTACTACTTATAACATCAGCTATCTGCCAGTGAAAGTCCCGTCAAAGTCGCTCCAGCCGTTTCGGAGATTAGCCGGTACAAACAGACAGACAGACAAAAATTTTAAAAATTGTGTTTTTGTTATAAGTACCGTATATACATTCTTATGAATTTAGTAAAAAATCTGTCTTCAGTTTTATTTATTTATATAGATTTGGCAAGTTTGACCACTATGTGTATGTGTCTGTGTGCCTGCCTGTGGCACCGTAGGTCTTAAACGGGTGAACCGATTTGAGTGCGGTTTTTTTAAATTTAAAAACAGGTTTATTAGCGGTGCTTCTTAGACATGTTCTATCAAAATCGGTTTAGCCGTTTCAAGGACATCAGCTGTTTTGTTAGCTGCGGTAGGGTTCTACTCGGGGGTTTTTAAATTTTACAATTTAAGTTGTCAAGAACGTGCCGTTTACGCGTTACGCGTTTTTGCCCTTACTCGCAGCGATTAATCTAAGGGTGAACGCAGTCCAAATTGGTACACTGATATTTATAAATAATCTGCAATACAATTGTGTAACTGGTGGGAATCTTGGTCGGCTTCTTTAAGACGTTTGATGTTCTGTTTTGTTGTATTGTGTAAACGTATTCAGTATCGATTATTTCGATTCTAATACATTTTTTTACATACAATAAACAAAAAAAAAAAAACAAAAAAAAAACAGCGATATTCGAGCCAGTATTTCATATTATTATAAATTACAAAACATTATCCTATTAAAAAAATAACCAGTGGTAAATTTTGTTGTAAAAATACAATTTGTAATCTTTTTCTACAAACGTCAACCTCACTTATGCTATCTCTGGCGCATCATATAAATATACTAACTACGCAGTATATGCACATGAGTAAATAAACGGAACGGAATAAACCTTCATACAACCATCCGAATCGGTTGCACTACTACAAGTACGCGGGGCATGTGTGCGTGACCACTGGCCGCTTGTCGCGTACGCGGCGTGACTGGAAAAACCGGTTACGCTGGCACAGCCAGTGGACAACAATCTCAGGGTCAGTGCGACGCACATTGTTTGTTTTGTTTGTTTCAAGTTTGCATATTTTAATGTAAAAACGTGGTATTATTAATAATGGTTGTTTGTCTGACAATCAGCACTGATGAAAATAACTGTAAAATCATGTTTAATTTTTAGCAACATCCGTTCATCATAAGAGACGATACGGCACCGAAAGGCTTTAAAGGTTACTGCATTGACCTTATAGAAGAAATAAGGAAAATCGTTAAATTCGATTATGAAATAACCCTATCGCCTGATGGCAATTTCGGAACCATGGACGAGAATGGTAATTGGAACGGAATAATAAAAGAGTTAATGGAGAAAAGGGCAGATATAGGTCTCACTTCACTATCAGTGATGGCCGAGAGAGAGAACGTCATCGATTTCACCGTACCGTATTACGATTTAGTTGGCATAACAATCATGATGAGTTTGCCGAAGACTCCGACGTCACTTTTTAAATTTTTAACGGTGTTAGAGAACGATGTGTGGCTTTCGATCATGGGAGCTTATTTTTTTACTAGGTAAGTTCGTTACATTTTATATTCCACACACAATTGCGTTATTATAATAACAATTACAGATTAGTAAATCTACTGCAATGGTCGAGGAGATTAGCAGAGTAGTGAACCTACACACCCGCAATTGTCTTACCACTTATCTTTCAAATGCTTATACAGTGAAACCTGGATAACTGGGACCTTAAGGGACCTGCAAATTTGTCTCATTGAAAGAAGTATTCCACTTACCAAGTGTCTCAGATATCCAGGTATAAATAAATATCTGTCTCATTTACAGAGGGTTCCATTAATACAGGTAAGAATAGAGGTTATTTCAGTTATAGAGGTGCGATTATTAAATAAAATAACGTATTTTGTGAACATTAATTCAAAACCAAACTAAAACTGGAGGTCACTTTTACACAATTAGACAGGTGTGGAATTTGCGGGTATAATAAGAATTAGTAAATAAAACGGTACACAAAATATACTTTCTGTCTAAATTATAGAGATATTTATGACGATAAAATCGAAACAACTAATCCCAGATATAGATGTTTGTTTTGTCCCATCAACAGAGGTAATTCAGTGCTAAAGTCTCGGGACCTAAGCATGAGTTCCAGCTATGGAGGTTTCTCATTTATCAAGGTCCCACTTAACCAAGTTTTACTGTATAATTAATTTTAAAATTTATTATTTCCTTAATTACAGCCTCTCTAAACATCTCTGCTGAACATAGGTCTCTCCCATTGCGTCATAGGGAGGGAAATTACCATACCGCATAATCACAGTTTTTTTTTAAATATTTTGAATTGTTATCAGGAGAACGCTTATCTCCCGTTTTATTTCCCTCTGACGCGGTATTTAGAAATTTTATTAAATATGTTATTTAGAAATTTATTAGCTACTAGCTGATACCCGCGACTTCGTCCGCGTTGTTTGATATATTAACAAAGTTTTGGAATGTGCGAAGGAAAAAATATCAAAAAGATCGCATGCAAAATATACTTTCCTTACATAATTTCTTTGTTAACAATGTTATTCGTTGCATATAATGTTCACTGAACGTATTGCTTAAGGTATTGCTTATGAAGATCGTTGTTTCTTAAAACTTTAATAACTTTATATTTAATTAATATATCGCAATTTTTTTTTTATATAAGGGCCAAGTATCTAAGAAATAAAACTTAGAAAACCTCATTGAAATCTATCTAGTAGTTTTTACGTGATGCGCACACAACTGCTAACCTCTAGCATTTTATTTATATAGAAACAGTAACAGAAACTTTTTTATTCAATATAGGTTATAAATAATACTTATTGGAAGTCACTCTTTTGTTTAATTACCACTGGTAGTAGCTTCGGCTTAATGATTGCCTTCGGCGACCAGCCACAGCCGCTACGGTTCACACAGGTGCCTGCCATTTGCTACAGCGGGAGGGGGCTGCTCTCCCTCCGCGCCTACGGCTTTACAAAAACACTCTAGGGTTAGGGCAGACAAGACTACGTGGAGGCGGGGCGTTCTGATTCGGTTTTAGTATAGATTCGACCTATCTTATCCATAAAGTCAGGTTGCCATAAACTCTGCTATGATAATGGTAAACGAGACAATGTAATGTCAATTGTTATAATTTTGTTTTCTGAAAAACCTCTTTGACTGCTCTCCACTGTGACTCAATTCGTTGTGTATGAGTCCCATCTTCAGCCACAAATGGATTGTCTGGGTCCGAGTAATTAACTTTTTTATGGGTGACCCGTTTCGTTATATGCAATTTTTAGTTAGTGAAATTTATTTTTATCGTAATTAAATCAAAACACATTTCCGTAATTCAAAAACAGTATAAAAGGTTCTAGCTTAACCTTGACAAACCTCCTAAACTGAAAACATAATTAAAATCAAGTACTCGACCTTACTTCATAATAGTTGACCAAATTGACATATCTGCGTTTCGTTAAATGCAATTTTTAGTGAAATTTATTTTTATCGTAATTCAAAACGGATTTTCGACATTCAAAAACAGTGTAAAAGGTTCAAACTTAACCCTAACAAGCCTCCTAAACTGATATATGTAACATAATTAAAATCAAGTACCGGACGTCTATAGCCAACCCCTCATATTTAATAAGCTTTAATACCTCACACATTTAATTTTGTTTCCCTTTACTTATTTGGTAATGACCAAATATGACACCATATCTGAACTCAGATACACCGGACGGTGTCAGTAGTAAAAATTACGATGACGTCAAAGTATCCGCCAACCTGAAACAAACCCAGTACCATGGCAATACGATTCATTTTAGAGAATTAAGGCCTTGTGATTATTCATAAAATTCACACATTTTAAGTACAGAGTGCCTCTTTAAGTATTTACATATTTATAATTTTGTATCTATCCTCCTATACCACAAAGTTCTTTATGCTAAATGACGTAAAAATATTAGGTTTGTACTAGACAAAATATTGACTTTATCTTGCACTCAACTTGCACTATTCAAATTGTGGTTGTCAATGTCAAGAGAGCATCTATCGTTGTGTAATAGGGAAGAGATATTGTTTAATTAAGAATGATAAAGCATTCATTGAAATTGAATTATATACAACTTTAAAATAAATTTGTGGGTACTATATGCGCGCCACCTACTGTATCTTAACTGTACTATGCCTATAACCCTCTGAAAAATAAGAAAAATAAATATTTCGAAGACATGTGAAGTTCATCGTGCATTGGGGCAGCGCGGTGGACATTTTCTTGCCCTAAAACCCTCTCAGAAATGAGAGATGATCTGTGCCCAACAGTGGGACGTATATAGGCTGTAACTAACTATATGACAATAATAAACAAATGTGCCCCTTGACTTTGTCACTTATTTCATGTGAACCGATCGATGTGTCTGTGTCTGTTTGAATCCATTATTTGTTATCAGATTTTGTATGGCGAGGTCGAATAACAGTCCACACATTATAATAACATTAGTTATATATTACTATTTTCAACGTAGTATTTAAACTAAAATCTATACCAATTATTAAAATTGAGGTGTCTGTTTATAATGTCAACATAACAGCTTTTATGTATGAAAGTGTATACGGTAACTGAAACAAAAAAACCTTTTTAAAATTTTGGTCTGTCTGTCTGTTTGTTCGCTAATCTCCGTAACGGCTGGACCGATTTTGACGGAACTTTTTCAGCCAGATAGCTAATGTTATAAGTAGTAACTTGGGCTTTTATTTTTCAAAAAGAATTAGTTTCGCGAAAAAAAAATATAGTCCAATCTAAATTATTCCACGCGGACGATGCTGCTGCCCATCTCCTGTTTATATTTCTCTTTGTCGTCTCTTACCGACACCCACGGGACGATATGGGGTAGTAGATATTCTTACACCGACACCACACGGTACAGTGTATATTATATTATAGTAGAACTCAGCGGCACGGAATTTAGGCCAAGCCCATATCTTGCGATAACAAAATTGTGTGTTTTTATTGAATATTTCTTGAGAAGGTAGGTCAAAAAAATGCCTACGAGTTCAAGAGGGTAATTCACTGTGTTCGAGTGCAGTGTTACATTTCGTCGCTGTGGAATGATAACCTCGTATGTCCAGAGATCTAAACTTTACAGGAAACGAAAAAAATAGTTCATTTCGTCAATGTTTAAAATATTGTTATTAGCTTTTGTCTCATGTATTGAATTACAAAAAGGACTTTTTTATATTACTAACCAATGTCTTAATTAACTGTGTTATACCAGTTAAATTGACATAAGAGGTTTTCTGTTTTAATATGTGCTAAGTTGCGAGGTTTTCAAAAGTAAAGACACTGCTGTAGACTAAAAATATAATGTTTTATTGGATACAATTTGGACAAGTTTTGGTAAAAAATCAGGATAGGAAGATTTTCTTTCACAGATATCAGTCGAACCGTAAGCTTAGATAACCTAAAATACTCTTAAACCTAATCATAACTCAACCGAAGTCCGTTTTCAAGCACAACACTACACACAACCCAGAGTAAACAACAATAACTATAAGAAGGCAAAAACAAATTTAATTATAAATGCGGCAAGCTATCATAAAATGGATGTAAATCTCGAGGAATCACACGTTTTAATTCCTGAAGATGGTTGTATTTTACCGTAGTTATGGGTAACTTTGAATAATACAACTGTTGAAAACAATCACTAGCATTTGTTTGATGTATTTTCCTTGGTAGTAATTGGTATTCTTCCGAATAACTTAGCTTGAACTTTATGGATCCTTCTGGTTCATATTCAAGGCAACGTATGGCAGTGACTTGTTGGTCACCAACCTTATTACCTGGTCTTATCGATGAAAAATACGGTTGAGAGCTGTATTTTTTGAAGGCTGTGTCGTCTAACTGGACGACATTGTAGGGACCAGGATTGTTACGGGCAGTTTTACAAGCTTCAACATACCCTGCTGGTGAATAAATCTCGCGATTTTTTATCTGCCTCTCAATTGTGGAATGCATCGCATCACATTCCATTTGGGTGTGACCCTTCTCAAGATATTTTTGGACTATGACCATACCTGTCTTAGCAGCTGCGAATAAAAGTGCATTGGAGAGAATAGAATTTCTATTTTGGTACGTGCACCCATCACTGTATATAATGACTTTGCGAATGATTGTCCTATCAATATAGTTAATTATGAAATCAACTATGATACTTGAAAACTCATCAGCTGTTAAACCGCCTTCAGATTCATCCCAGAGGAAATAAAATCCTTCTTTGGTCTTCAAATTATTTATTGTAAAATTATGCACTTTGAACTTCATCTTGTAATAAAGTGCTGAAGCTTTTAAATATGGACAAAGCAAGACAGCTTGCAAGTCCATAGTAAATACAGCAACAGAAGTATCATTTTCTGCTTTGTCATTCTCTTTCTGGCTTTGTGCTTCCGCTTTCCGAATTAAATGTAGTTGATAATCCGTATCACTAACACTTCCAACCTTATGACCACAGCAGGTGTCACACTGGTCCTTTTTTGGACGAAATAAGGA